TGTGTAATCAGCGCAGCTTGAGTTAACCTGTCTGAACTAGCTCGCAGGCTTCGCTCCATTAATGAAAGAAAAGTTTTAATAAAAATTACCTACTGCAGCTTTAAGCAACTTATTTGTGTAAGTATCAGGATTATAGTTATATAGGTTATAACTATCATTATTCACACTGTACTTTGGTAAATGTAGTGGCCATATCAGAAACCATAATGTGATGAATACAGAATCAAGACAGCACAGTAATGAAAATGTAAATTACGTTTAATATTTGAAGCATTTGGAGGGGGACTTCTGCTACTGTACAATCCTTAAGAACAACTTTATAGTGAAGAGTGTAGATCTCTACTGAGGTCACTAACCTGTGTGACTCTTTATTTTCATAATCTGTTACTTTTCTTTTAGAGTCTGCAATGGTCTGTGTTTTAAAGCTAGAGTGAAGATGCATTGGTACCAACCATGTCATGCTAGTATGTCGGGATAAGGACTAAATAATTCTCCAAAGCTAGGCTGAATTGTGACGAAGAAACTAGCATGGCAATTTTCAAAGGGTTCCCTTGACCTCTGACCTTAAGATATTTGAATTGAAATGGGTTCTATGGGTACCCACAAATCTCCTCTTTGCAGACATGCCCACTTTATGCTAATCCCATGCTTTTTTTTATTGCATGTGGTATAAATGTTTTTCGTATAGTGTATTTGAATATTTCTGCATACTGGGGTCCATGAACAGTGTTGGAACAATATAAATTGGGGATGATTGTAAAGCTGCACATGCCACACTTGATACCCCTGCATAAGTTGTCAGTCCAAAAAGTCTGGAAATGCCCCTGCCACAGAGCATACATAGACATACTATTTCAAAAGTTATCTCAGGTAAGTCAGTTACTGAAACACCATGTATCTGTTTATATATCATTAAAAGAAAATACAAAGAAATTCCCCATCAGTTTGAGCAGAAATCAACATGGCAGCTACAGAGCAACTTGAGTCAAGGTACTTCACTGTGACACTAAATAAAGAGTATATTTACAGCAGCAAATATGTGTTCATATATACAGTATCAGGCTATTTTATGATTTTTTTTTACAGAATGAAACAACACCCACTGGCCCTCTCAGGAACAAAACACATCATACAACCTGATATGCAGGTTCCATAAGGACTTTGATCAGTAGTGTCTCATATAGTTATTTAGAAATGTCAAATTCTATTATTTGTGAGGTAAAAATGCTTTTTAAATATGTAGGATCCTTAATTACTAATGCATGCCGGACAGTGACACTTTGCTTTTGGCCCGTGGCCCAAGTAGTCTTCAGTTTTGGCCTTACAAGGGACAAAGTATGGGATAAATGGTCACATTTGTTAGAATAGTAGGATGGCAGGGTGTGAGGGACAAAACAGTGAGTGTATAAAATAATAAATAATCTCTTTGCTGGCCTGTGAGTTTGAAGTAACACAAAACACTGTACTTTCAAACATGACATGACATATTCATGTGGAATACGAATCAAATTTGAACACACAGGAAGTAAAGTATCTTTGGTAATGATAATGTTTTTTTCACAAAAACAATCAAAATAAAGCTACTAAATAAAGCTATTGACAGAAGCTACTGGAACAAATAATGCCTACAAGTATTGTTCCTTGGGAAGACCCTGTCTTAAACGGTGCCATTGCACATCCTACGACCACTAACAAGAGTTAATCAATGCAAATTTACTTACATTATTTTACACAGTTTTACCTTAAAGATCCAGTGAGTCGGATTAAGTTGCATCAAGCAGTGAAGTTGCAGATTCTAACCAACTGAAAATCCTTGACTTAACTAAGCATGTCCAAGAAACTACAGTGGCCTTGAAACTCACAAAAAAAAACAAGAAAGGCCCTATCTACTGTTTTTTATTTTATGTATTGTACGGTGTTCCTCGAGTGCCCAGAGAGGCGCCTTTAAATAAAATTTATTATTATTATTATATTATTATTATCTAGAGCCAGTGTTTGGTTTGTCTGTTCTGGGCTACTGTAGAAACATGGCCCTTCTGACGTGCACCCTCTGTAGATAAAAAATTCTCACTCTAAGGTAATGAAAACACGTTTCCTATATTCAGGTGATTATACACTCATGAAAACATAGCTGTGAATATTATATTACATTTCTGCCAATAGATCCTCCTAAATGTTACACACTGGACCTTTAAAGACACTATAATGTATGGATTACTGCTATATACTATGATGTATAATATGAATTTATTTTAAACAGTTTTACTACTTGTCATATTAGTTATGCTGTTTGAAATTACTGTAGTTTGCTGCCTCTGGATACCGTAAAGGTGCTACATCATTTACAGTATGGCATCAATATATCATCTACATTTGTATAAATAAATTAAAGAGGCTACAATCTCAAAATATGAAGTGTGACATAGAATGAATAACTTCCATTGCCCCTTGGTCATGTGTGGGGCGGGGGTCATAGTCATGTGACTTCTGTGAAGGATCCTGGGCTCTGCAGGAGCACAAAAGAAAAAAAATTAAATTAAAAATTGAGCCGAATATTGATATTTTCATAGTTCAATTTCAGTATGTTCCAAAAAATAAATAATTGACCCTTCCTAAGCCCTGCACCTTTTTATTCTGTGTTCCAATAACAGTTGAGCAAACCTCGTCAGCTGTACTTAGATATGCTATTTGCTTGTCTGTGTTGAAAAGAAAACCACATTTTGAAGATGGTTCAAAGATAAAAGCAATAATAGTCAATAATACAATAGTCTTAAGTTAGCTAATATTAGCTAACAAGCTAACTAACAGTTAATATGAACTAGCTAGCTAGTTTTGCTAATATTAGCATACAAATGTAAATAGCTAGCTAATGATTGATGCAGATTATCTAGGTAGTTAGCTAGCATTTTGCAACCATTGGCTAGTTTACTTAATAAGCGACTATATATAACTTGCTTTTATATTTAATCTTCAAAATGTGGTTGTCTTTTCAACATAGAAGTTAGCTAGCTATTTACATTTGCAAGCTAATATAAGCAAAGATCTAACTAACTAGCTTTTTACATCAATCGTTAGTTGGCTAGTTAGCTAACATTTTGCTTACATTAGCTAACTTGATATGTGACTATGTCACATTTATCTTTTAATCATCTTCAAGCTGTCATTGTCATTTCAACATAGATTAGCATAGCACATAGCATATCTTCAAACAGGAAAGGAGAAAGTTGACCGAGGTTCTGACCGAGCACAGAGCAAAAAGGAGCGGGACTTAGGAAGGGTCAGTTGTCAAGACGCTGTGACAATTGACACTCCCACTACCAGGAAGTAAATATGGATATAATGGTTTTCATAAATGATATGTTATATCGTGCCCTCTTACATGTGTCACTTATGAAAATGAAAACCAAAACCTACATGTGTAAAAGTGTAATGTGTACTGTATGCTTTACCTGTGTGACAATGTATTGGTCACTGGTTCCCATAGTGTGATTTATCTGGGGTGAAGCCTCATCAGTGTTAGCTGTGCCTGCATCTGAGGAACTCCGAGAAATCACAGGTCTCTTTTTAAAATACTGGACCACAAACACCACCTGGAAGGAAAGAAAGAAGAAGAGACAGCCCTATAATCATTCTAATCATATGAAATTATTCTGTTCAGACCAGAAATTGTGAATTATATATCTCAAGGAAGAATATGTAGACAAACACAGTCATGCAACAAATAATTAGGTCTAACACAGAGAACTGTATGTGGGGACCTCTGCTATTGAGGAATGTTTTTTGTGACTGGAGGGAGACGGAGCTTCATCATGTTTGTTTAGATTGTTTCTGTGACCCAGCTTTTTGTCCCAGCCAAGACTGCTGTGCATGGCTTTTACACAAAAGACCAATTCAGGTTCATTCAAGCAACGACAACTTGTGCGCTTTGTATATGTGTGTCCTGCAGCCACTTTGTCCATTAGACCAGTTTTCTATTATGTAGGAAGGACAGTGGCAGAGAGGTGGTCTGACTCTCTGAAAAGAGGCTCTGTGTGTCTCTGGTTATTTTAAAATGTAATTGATATAAAATCAAAAGTGCAATCAAAAATCAACTGTTCTGATCAGACAGCATTGGTGAAAATACTTGTCTGGGTGGACTGTGAGGATCATTTATGAGCCTGAATTGAGAACTATATTCATCCCAGTGACAATGAAATGACATCAAATTAGATCATTCAGTGTCACCTCTTAAATGTTAATTATTTAATCACTTTGAAAGCGATTAAATCCCTTTACAACGTGATTAAAATATTTAGATCATTAACATTACACTTTCTGTATGGCACTCAATAGAGTGCAGCTCACTGGCAGGTGTGTCTTGGAAAAAGTCCAAAGCAGGCTGTGTGTCCAGTGTGTATGAATGAGAGCAGTGGAATGAATGGGAGACAATATGCAGATTACATTATCAAGGTGTAACCAGGGTAGACAAGCTATATGTAGACAAACCTTGGACAGTTAAGCAATGGAAAATGTCAATTTCAAAGTGAAAACTAAAGAATTCGCCATGTATGTTGTTACTAGACTCTGAAGCAGTTGTGAACCCTACTGGCCGGTTAAGGGCAGTGAGCAGTTAGTATAAACTGTCATAAAATGTTTTTTTCAAAAAATGTGAATCACTGCAACCACGAGAGGTCCTTACGCATACAGTCATACATGTGCACAAAAAATATGAGGCTGATCTGTCCAGTAATGGGCAAGATTAGCTGAGGACAGATACACACACGGACACACACAATCAATAACATTGTTAAAAGCACTGAACATAATGAACCACTGAAAAAAATCTTATAATGGTCGTTAGATGACTATTACATGCTATACTACAATACAATGTACACTGAAGCTGAATAACTGACCAGAAAGACAGCAATAGCTCCCCCGATGGTTTGTCCTGCAATGACATCACTCCAGTGGTTTCGGTACTCTGCCACTCTGTTGACGCCTGTCAGCACAGCCAGACTGACCAATGAGAGACTAAGGAGGGGGCCAGTCAGACGACCTCCTTTTGAACTGACACAAGACATGACGTACATCTGAAAAAGAAGATGAGTCAAAGCCAGCGTCATATGGTGATGTAAGGCTTCTACTGCGTTTATCAGTGGTGAAGATAAACTTGTCATTTATGTTGAAAAGTTGAGAAAACTCATAATTTTCACAGGCCACTGTCTTGACTTATTTTCAAACTGTCAAACGGAAACTTTCAAGTTTTGAAATAAACTAAAAGAGTCTTGCTGACATATAATATTTTGTTGAGGTAATTGACTTTTCTTCTTTACAAAAACTAAAGTTATACAAAACAGAAAATTCTGTATTAAAATGTTAACAGTGAGCCGTAAAACTGAAAATATTAAATTATTAATTGTTTTTCACTTTTCTGAAATACAGATTACTTTGTTTCTAAAACAAAAAGATTAAAACATTTTCTCAAGAAGAAATTAGCATAAATTACTATTTATTTATATTTTTATTTTATATTTTGTTTAATTCATAACTTATAAGTTTGAGTTTGATTTAAAACTTTTTTTTACACTAAACAGAGCTACTCACTGCCAGGTAAACAGCTGTATACAGACTCAGCGCTGCCTCTTTGGACGGGAAGGTCTTTCTAGCTCTCATGATGTCTTCGGGGTCTCCAGTGCAAGCGTCTGATTGGCTGACAAAGTGTGTCGTGTCCTGGCAGCCGAGGGCAGTGTAATTGGGCTGGCAAACAGAAAGGAAGTGAGGAGCCAGACTTCCTGTGATAAACTGACCCGCATTGACGAAGATGTCTGTTGTAAACAGACCGAAAACATACACACCTACAGAGAAACACACACAGGTTAAATTATATACGTTTGTATGCAAATTCAAATGCTTAAAAGCAGCATGTTGCCATATAATGTTACATTCACATATGGTAAGACAGCAGACTGAAGCTTTAGGTAATTGAAATAAATCATTCACATCAACATTATTCCAACTTTAATTGGTTATGAACATATATGAAGACTGACAACATGACAGCTCTCTAAAAGTCTCTTCCACTGCCATTTCCACTGATTTCAAGGGGAATACAACTGAATACGACCCCTGAAGAAATAGCCAATCTCCTCACTGATGGTCTTGTTTGTTTATGCAGGTCAGGCATCAGTAATACACTGAGACTGTTTCATAACCAGTTAAAAACTCCTTGTAGTAAGTTTAAGTAAAGCAGGCTAAGTAGAAGTATAAAGTAACATAAAATGGAAATATCCAAGTGCAGTACAAGTACCTCAAAGTACCTCAGTACCTACTTACTTTCCAATAATCCCATGTTGCAAATGCAAAATCTCAATTGACTCCTTGTTATAGAGTGTTTACTGAGTGTTTATTATGTAGGGAACAGGTCCTTTTCACAGCAGGCATTGTGACATGTCAGCAGGCTTTGCTATTGTTCATGTTTCTTTATAGGCATGGCTTACCAGGACACTTAAGGGAGAAAGTCATCTTAAACTCTCCTTTTTCCATTTGGCCTGCTTTTAAAATAACTTGATATACCGAAGACTTGTTAGGATGTCAAAATGGTTTGTTACAACGACAACACTTCCTCGTTATCATGAGAGGAAGGTTTTTATTGTTCTAACATTCATAGCAGCGTTGCCACCACTGTACTGCACAGATCCTGCAGTGTCAGTAGCCTGTTACAATGAAAAGGTTACGAAGCATCCCAGATCCAATTTTGTACACATACTCATAACTAGAAAAGCGCCTTGTAGTTAGATTACCAAGGAAACGGAAGGTCCTGCGCACCATGGGGTTCACATAGCAGCAGTCACCCATGACAACAACCTTCTCTTGGTCGTACAGGTTGTTGGAGTTGTAGTGAAGAAGAAAGATAACTAGCTCTACACCTGAGATCTGCAAAGGAAAATGGAAAAAAAAATATATATAATTCAGTGTGTCAGTCAGTGTATCTTACCCAGTGTGTGAATTATACCATGGCTTTTGGAGGAACTCATGATATAATCAACATAACTAGTGAATATTTATTAGAGATGCACCAATATCAATACCAGTATCAGGTATCAGGTCCAATACTGAGCTCATGTACATAATTGTAATAATAAAACGATACTGCACACAACGCCACTTTACAGCAGCATGATGTTACGTAACCTCTCAGTAGTTGAGCAAGTAGGAAGCAGTGTAGTTTGGACGTATTTTAAGCACTTTGTACAACAATAGCAACATTTACTTTAGTTTGTTACAGCCAGAAAGGGAAGAACATCAGATGAAAATATAACATGTTTTCAAAATATTGAAAATATAAGACACCCAATGGGGTGGCAAATAATTTTCTCCTCATTGGTTTATAAGAAGTTAATTTTGCAAAATTGGAAAAATAAAGAAGCACCATCTTTTGAAAATTGAAAAAGATTAATGAAATATTATTTGAATATCGAAAAGACAATGTGGGAAGACAGCAATAAAAGAAAAACAATTTTGATAATTGAGACTCAGAACCGATTTGTGAGTGTGAGCGAGAAACGGAGTGAGCCGTGAAAGACCAGCAGTAAGTCCGTGAACATACCATAATGAAAAGAGAAGGAACGAACTATAACATGTTTTTAAGGTTGTTAGAACTCTAATCATACCGGTACTCTGTATATGCAAGTAGCTAAATGTAAGTACTTGCACTTATTACTATTATTATTTGAAAAATTCTGAAAAAAAGTGGCGGAGCCTCTTTAATATTTATCATAAACGTATTATCTGTAATGTTCTTAAAGCAGCAATAATTAATTTAAAAAAATTAGCCACTCTGGGCAGCGTAATAAAATGTAAACACAACAGTAACATTTTATCACTTTAGCTATAGAGTGCTTCAGGGATGATGTATTTTTGTAGTCCAACCCGGAAGTCAGCATCGCTAGGTTTCTTCAACAAAAAGCCAATGGGATTGTTCTATTGGCTTTTGGATTGTTCCAGAAAATAATCTCTGTGGCGAACAAAGGTTTATGATACTTACACATTTTGTTTAGCAAGATAGTCTTCATATCTTATGATTTTTGAAGCATAACTGTGATCACCAGAAGTACAAAGCTAATGTTAGCCTATAAAGGCACTACCCCACGGTTGCATAACATCAATGTCTCCACCAGTAAACGTTGTAATTAAATTGTGTAATTAAAATCTACAAGTTATAAAGTTTGAGTTATAATAGCGTGCAAGTGTATGACTATAAACACTATGTGGCTGTAAAGGCTGACTAGTGATCGATGTGGTGTGCTGTTTAATGTCACCTCTGTAGTCTCATTTAGTCACTTGTTAGCAATTTCCTTTTTAAAACACGTAAAAGCTTCCAAATTCACAGGTGGGATATGTACTGACGTATTATATGTTGAAGAACAAAATGGGTTTAAGCTTGTGTTAACCACAGACCTTATTTTAGGCATCTAAACCCATTCAATAGACCCACTGACTTCACGGCGAGGGAAGCGGAAGCGCTAAAATGCTAACGCAATTCTGTTTCGCTCCATTTAAGCTCTAATGGGAGGCGTAACATAGCTGCTCTGAGCACAGAGTCAACAGGCACATTTAAAATGAGTGGTAGTGTCTTTCAATTCATCATTAATGAGAGAGAACAGGCCAGAATGTGAATTTGACAACTCAAATATAAAAATATATATATATTAAAAAAACTTAGTTCCTCTTTAACACGTATGCCATGCATGCCTCTCTGTAGCTGTCTTTCCAGTAGCATCATTATCTTTATCCCAACAATGAAAAGCCTTCAGTTGTGTTTACAGTTAGACTCACCAGTACAACAGGCAGCCCGCCCACCACAGAGTACAGTATTACAGGCTGGATGCGGCTGTCCTGCTCAGGTCCGGGATCTGGTTTAGTCAAAGTCGGGTCTCTGCAGATGAAGCCCTGCTCTGCTGGACTGAAAGTGTCCGTGAACTCACAGTAGTAAACCAGCATCACTGTAGCTGCCAGGATCACTACCTGGAAGTACAGCATGGTGGAACCTGAAGGTCCTGGATCCTGCTATCACAGTGATGAATATAACTATAGCAACCTATAACTGCTGTTGACTCACATCCGAATTTCTATTTTGTGTCACCCTGGTGAATAATCCAGTTTTACTTAATCCTGGTTAATGCTTTATAATCCAAATTTGGAGACTTGAAGAATACTCCAGTGCAAGTATGAAACAACAGATGGTGGTGACTATACTAAAGATGATGATTTTCCCCTCAGAGACAGAAAATGTCCTTTTTCTTTGCCTTTTTCTGTGATTCTGTGGGAGGGAAACCTTGTCCTTCCGCTCCTGTGAATTTCCTGAATCATCTGACAGCAGTGAACCAGGGAATTCATTCTATTTCACTGAACAATCTCTAAAGAGCCACTTGCAGTTTGACCACAAACTCACATCAGCATTTTGCAGAATCGGTGAATATAAGAGAAAGTGGACTTTAGAGATTGGATCAGGGTGTTTATACCTTTAGTTTTACATTAAAGGTCCAGTGTGTAACATTTAGGAGGATCTTAGTAAAATGAATGAAAATGAATATTTAACGGTCAGTTATATTTCATTTATAATAATTTATAATATGTATATTTAGAAAATGTAAATTTGTGAAATATGAACAAAGATGACACTTTTGACATTATCACAGACTTTCTATGTATTGTGTTACTGAAGTTAGCAGGCTAATCAACCCGGAGACACTGGAGACAGCTCTGGGCGAGAAAAGGGATGAAGTTTCTTCTAGACTGGTGAGTAAATGCTGTCAATGCTAACATTGGATATTTAGCAATTAAAAGTAGCTAACTGCATAATGTTACAGATTGTGTTAAAGGAGCAGTGTGTAGGATTTAGTGGAATCTAGCAGTGTAGTTACAGATAGCATAGTGAGTTAGTGAGTTTGTGATCTGACACGTCTTGGGATCACCCTCCACTACCTCCATTACAGGTACACTACAGATCAGTTCAATCCACAGAGAAACCAAACAGCTTGCAGTGAGCTCTAATACAATAAGCACTGCTGCCCTCTGGTGGCAGCCTATTTTATGACATTACAGGCTTTGAGACACATTTAGGCACACACCTAATAAGACTACCATATTATTGTGTCTCAGATTGTGCAGTTGGGTGAGACGTCTGAAAAAGAATTGAGTGACAACATTTTTGTTTTGTATCTACATACATGGAAGCTGAGCCAATAGGGAGGGCCAATCAGGGAGGGTCATCTGATGAAAACATGAGAATTGTTTAACCTTGTATCACCAATATTTCAGTAGCCATGATTGATCTTGTTCTACTGCTCCTGAAACAAGGATTACACATTTTGATAATATATGTGAGAAAAAAATCATACATTATATGAAATTGTTGAAAAATTTACCGGAAAAAAACAAACCTGAACATGCATTAATATTATTCCCACAAAGGTTGATTTGTTCTTGAGAGGAGATAAAAGTGTTAGTTATGGTGCATCCTTCTACTATGACTTGAACTCTTTCAGGTAGTGTGCAGCTAATGTCTGATAAGTGGCAGTCCCTGCTGCTCTTTAAGTTACCCTCTGTTCCACTAGCTCAGCCAGACGGTGTATTTGCCCATACATTGTTATCTCTGAAACGAAACATGATAATGTAGCGACCAATAACAAGAAAATGGTTGCAAACTTAACCGCCAATATAACTTAAGACTTTCTTAAAATTGTGACGGATATCTCTATATATTTCTAGGCTAAATAACCTCCCTACCATTGTCACCTAAAGGAAATCAATGAATGTGATGGCTACAGTGGGGCAAAAAAGTATTTAATAGCCATAAAATGGCACATGGTTAAATGTGCAGGCTATTGATTGCATTGTGTCGTTTCCTCTTTCAACAGCTGTCTGATTGACGGTCCTCTCCCAGCAGCACACCTCTGCCTCCTCTATTCAAATTCTTCGGACAAGAAATGCCTTTGCCAACATTGACAAAGCCTTGATTGACAGGCAATTGCGGCCTATATTTAGGAACCAAGCAGTATCACCCCCCCCCCCCCTAACTGGTAAATCGTCCCTATTTGTTCTTGCCAAATTATCTGGAGTTATTATTATTTTTTGCCCCCTCTGGTTGACGGTGGTATTTGTTGGCCCCCGCCTGAACGATAAACATCAGGAGTAATTTTGTATGCTTGGCCAAGAACCTGTGTCGGGCCTGGTGGAGACTCTATATATTCTATGTGGTGGCTTTCACGGTCCGGCCACAGGAAGGGCCCACTAGCGGCGGCGCCTACTTTCTAAGCAGAAGTCCGTTGGCTAATAACTCCGGGCATAGTTTGTCGCATCATTCAAAATCTTATATCACACGTTTTCGGTTGAGATGGACAAGCTGCAGCCGTCCCTATAATAGGCCCCGCCGGTACGGGCATCGGTGCACCAATCTGCAGCGTCCCATTGGCCGAGCAAAGGTCCGGCGCCCTCGTTTAAAGATGAAGAAAGGTTTATCATCTCCGCATTCGCGCACCGTGTGATTAAAAACGGAAACTCTGGTTATGATGATTGCCCCATGGCGTCCCTGAGGCTCAGACTTAAAAAGGAGAAAAAAAGACCCGCCACGCCCAGCTGGGGGGTGGCGCTCTGGTGGCAAGGTAACGAGGTCACTGATG